GTGCTTGCAGCCCAGAAAGCCAACCGAATCCTGAGCTGCATGAAAAGAAGTGTGGCCAGCAGGTTGAGGGAGGTGATTCTGCTGCTCTACTCTGCTCTGGTGAGACCTCACCTGGAGTACTGCATCCAGCTCTGGAGCCCTCAGCACAAGAAGGACATGGACCTGCTGGAGCGGGTCCAGAGGGCCACAAAAATGATCCGAGGGCTGGAGCACCTCTGCTACGAGGCCAGGCTGAGAGAGTTGGGATTGTTCAGCCTGGAGAAGAGAAGGCTGCAGGGAGACCTTATTGCAGCCTTTCAGTACTTAAAGGGGACCTATAGGAAGGATGGGGGCAATCTTTTTAGCAAGGCCTGTTGTGACAGGACAAGGAATAATGGTTTTAAACTAAAGGAGGGTAGATTTAGACTGGATATAAGGAAGACATTTTTTACAATGAGGGTGGTGAGGCACTGGAACAGGTTGCCCAGAGAGGTGGTAGAGGCCCCATCCCTAGAAACATTCAAGGTCAGGTTGGATGGGGCTCTGAGCAACCTGATCTAGTTAAAGGTGTCCCTGCTCACTGCAGGGGGGTTGGGCTAGATGATCTCTAAAGGTCCCTTCCAACCCAAAGCATTCTATGATTCTGTGAACAGAAAAAAAGGTTAGTTGCTCTGAAGAGTCCAATGGTAGGCACTTTTAGGACAAACAGGTAGATAACGTGGAGAAAAGTGTGGAGGACATGGAATAGGGGACTGGATCAAATAAGAGGAGGGGGAGTGAGAGCGTATCTTAAGGATGCTGGAGTTTGTAAGTCGTTAATGTCAAATCTTAATGGTTACATGGTTCTGCTGTTTTACCAAAGGTAGCTGATGTCGATGTTATTCCTCAGTGTGAACTGAAAAATAGTTGCAAGGACTTTTCCAACTGGTTCCTAAGATACAGTGCAAACTCCCTGAACTGTTTCAAGTAAAGGAAGAGCATTTTCTTGTGTGTATTCCTCTCTCTGCTTGGATGGTTTTTTGCTTACCAGGAAAGCTGAAAGAAAGTTTAAAAAGATACTGGGGGGGACATTAATGCTCTCAATTTCTAGCTGTTAATAGACGGAGCTCCTCTTTGCCATGCAGAAGTTCAAGTAAATGTTTGGGATCCCCAGTCACTCTAAAGCCTAAGAGATCTTTCAGCGTGTCTTTGAGAGAAGTTGTGTCCCATATAATTGAAGAGCTAGTTGTAAGTGGTGCAGAAGAGATGGCTAATACAGTGAACGAAGTGGAACAGGAAGAGATTTTCAGAGAGGGTAAGAAGTGCTTTCAGTGTTGCAAGGGAATGGAGTACTTCAGTCTGATTAAAACCAAGAGTTTTTCAGGTGACTTGCAGGGTAAAATAAGACTTTATTGTGCAGTAGATGCTGGAGATAATTTAATTCAAGTAACATCAGAGACACCGTGAGCATTTCCAGGCAAGCTTTCTAAAAGTAGGCTGTGACTTGCTCACGTGCTTTCTTGTCAGTATTTGCTGACACACAGTGACACACAGTGACTGCAAATGGAATAAATCTTCATATTTTTTGGTAGGTTCGTAGTACTGCTCATCTTCCCATAGGAAAGATTAATAGCTCCCTCTTGGTAAGGAATACGTCTGGCTAATCATTCTTTTTGTTTGCATACATTTTAATGCTTTACTATATTTAAGCCATATTGGCCATTATCTTTCTCCAGTACTAACCAGCATCTTTTTCTCTTAAGACAAGGACTTGAAGGTTGCCCTCCCTTAAGTAATAAAGATTGTCATGAGTAGGTTGGGCCTTAATACCTCCTTGTTCCTGGAAGAGAGCAAGTCATGCAAGTTGCCTGCTTTCACAAGTACATTCTCAGTTTTTTTCTGAAATCCTGTTGCCTTAGAATAAGACAGTAAAAACTCTGCACAGATGCCGAGGTTGGCAGGTCTTATCCAGCCATTACATAAAACTTTGGGTATGTGTGGACACAAATTCCTGTGTTTTGTTGAATTTAATTTTCCAGTCTGCAGTTTAGGATCCATTTTAAGTCTTTCCCGTTGTTCCTCTGACAGTGTCTGGAAATGAGAGAAGACCATTGCCATGCAGGTTTAGCTTTCCCTAGGCTTAATTACATGTCTGAAGTTTCCTATGACTTACCTTATGGCAGTATGGAAACTGAACAGTCTACAGCACCAACAGTCTTCTTATTAGAATTTTAAACTGAATCCTTGCAATGCCCATAAGTAATTGATTGCACATACTGGCTGTATGAGCAAAATTAGTTATGTTACCTTTTTATTGTGATACTATAGCTTTTTTGTTTTAAAAAGTTCTTTCAGAGTGGTTCATTAAGGTAGCAGATATTCTGCACCTCTAAATTTAACAGTTGTGCAAGGTTGGCATCCTGTAATCTTTCTTGATTCTTTTGTCTGTTATATTTTTACTTGGGTGCACCTATGGAGTGTGACCTTTAAATGGGATGTGACTCTTGAGGCTGATGAAAGTCACCTCAGAATTGTTAACAATTCTGTGAACACAAACTCAAAGCTTGGGGGATGGTCAGAAAAGCACATAACATGTAAAATTATGAAAGGAAGAGATGACAAAACGTCACTGTGCCATTATGGAAATGATTGTCACGCTCACCTTTTGAATACTGTATGCAGTTCTAACCTCTCCATCTAACCTCTAAATAGATTAAACAGAACTAGAGAAGGTGCAGAGAAAAACAGTTTTGACATTAACGATAATCAAATACATGGAGCAATTTCTGTACATTGAATGACTAAAGATAAGGACTGCTCAGTCTGGAAAAAGACAATGGGAGTGAAATACAAGAAGTTTAGAAAGAAAAGCCTTGAGCAGCATGAGGGATAATTCAGCAAACAAATTGAAAGAAACGTCTCTCTGATCTGTCAGTGCAGAAACTAGAGAGGAGCAACTGGTGCTAACAGCTGGCAGGTTATACCAAACTACAGGAGGTATTGCTACTAGCAACAGGTGAAGAAATGAGTAAAAATTAAGACTTGAATGTGTCAGTAATATCTGGTATTCCACTGTTAAAGTACTGTATCCCAGCAGGGATCCAGTAGTGTGGGAGATTCACTGGTGGCTGTCTGCCTTAGGCAGTCTTAATGTAGAGTTGAGCTTTTGTCTTCTCCCCACAAAGCTAGTTAATATTTCACTTAACTTCAGGCAAGATTTTGCCCTCCATTGGTGTAGGGAGCCCAATGTTCTGGTTAGTGAGATTAGTATTACTGAGGCACCACATTTGGCAAAATTTCCTTGTCCCCTTCACTGGGGCTTGGGGCTCCCAAGACCTTGACACTTGAACTTTTGAATGTGAAAACTGCTAGTCACTGGAGAGGATGGTAAAAATCCATTTTTGCAGCTTCTAGTTCTGGGCTCAGCCAAGATTTCCAAACCCTTCAGCAAGTGACAGTACTATGAGAGTTGCCAGTAAGATTTCTCCAAATAATTACCTGTGTGGGTGTCTGAGCTACATGGTAACAGACATGTGGACTGTAGATTTACTATGTAGGGAAAAGGAATACTTAAGTACTCCTCGTACTTCAGTAGCTACTTCCATAGCTGAAGTTTTTAAAGACATGCAAATCCTGTGTCCATTTATTTCTCCCCATCCTGCCTGCTAGAGTCTTGTTCAGGATGGTTAAAACCACTGCTAGGTGCTGTCCTCTTTGTAGTGTAATGTATCTCTTCCAAAATTGTTTATTCAGAAAAACTAAGGAAACGGGGAGGAGAATCTGAGCACAAACTCCATGTATTTTTAGACATAAAGGTAAAGAAATTGGTCTTTCACACAATCACCAAAAGCGAGAATAGGCATAGAGATGGGATATCTTGAGGAGCTCTACTTGCTGATAGGTAAGATTCCTTCATTGGGATCTGATGTGCAATTAGGTGGCTGTAGAACAAACACAGGAAAAGTTGTGCATTTTCCAGCTGTACACTTTTGGAAGGGAACTGCATCTGTTTCCCTTATTTATAGCTTATGGCTATTGCTGTGTTTACTTATGAGTAAATTTTAGTGGTTGTTAAACTGTATGCTGGTGGTCGATTGGTGGTTTTTTGTAGCTAAGTTTGATGATAGAATTTCCTATTTTAGCTGCAGAACATCGTGCAAATGCTGGATATTCTGAACATTTGGAGAAGAAACTGACCAAAAAAGCAGAATCACAGATAACTATGACACAGGATACCAGAGTCGAAACGGAAATGGCCCTTTCAGAAGAAGAGGGAATAGCAGAAGGCAGTGTTGAACACCAAAGCTCTTCTGAAGCTGGTGAGGATAAGCTCTAATACTGAAGACTATCTCTAATGCCAAAGACCTCTCGAGGCATCAGTGCTGGGAGAGACACTTGTTAATTCTCTTTGCATTCTGGAATCTGGGCTAAGTACTGGGAAAATTGCAAACTCATTTTGGCATGTTAAGCTGAAAGACTGCATTCTACTCAAATGGAAACAAATATTGCATTGGCAGTAGTGTTTAGAAATACATAGTTGCAGAAGGCATCTTTAATTAAATTTTACTAGTGGAAGTTCCAGAATCAGGCAAAGGTCGATAAAATTTGGAGACCTTCTGAGTGTGTTGGCAAATCAGGGTCTCCCAAGTTACTTTTCCTGAATTGCAGGGTCTTCTGTGTTCAACATGCTGCACTAAGGCTTTGTAAGACTTCTTTTGAGATAAAACTTCTTATTAAAGGAATTTCATTTAAAAGGAGCTCAGATAAAAATTTCACTTAAATCTCACGGGCTTCTTTACATTACCAAGTGATGTTCTTTTCATGTGACCTCTGCACACCTAGATGTAGCAGAGGGGAAAGCTGGGGATTGATCAGTGCTTTAGCTTATCTAGCTTAGTGTATTGACACCCTAATCATTGAAGATAGGAATATAATAGCTGGCAGCATTGTCAGGAATGGAAGGCTGGATTTCATTCTTATGAATGCTCTGAAATTTTGGCTATGATACTTGTTTCAGTGATGTATTTTTCCTGTTTTGGAAATCTAGAACATGAGATTGCCAAAGATGTTGGAGCTGGAACTCTGGGCAGGCATTCCCATGCTTCCTCTTCTGAAAAATCTGGGATGAAGCCATTAAAGGAAGCTGTTGAACAAGCAGACGAACTAGAGGACCAGGTTATCACAGTAGAATTGGATGGTCTGGAAGAAAAGCCTACTGAAGATGAAGCTGAAGGCTCTGAGAGTGAAGGTAAGAAAACTATTGCAGCAGTAGCAGAAGGCAGTTGGAGAAATTTTTCCCTGTTACATCTTGATAGATTGAAGAACAACATAGGTTAAAAATGTTAACAGTTTAGTCCATCAGATGGTCAAGGGGAAGCTGTGGGCTGCTATTCCTAGGACCAGATTGTTACTGGTTCATCAGGTGCTTCAGGGACCTAGATCATCTTGTACTTTTTGAGGTGAAGGTAATGGAAGCGCATGAATAGACAAAACTGAGTGCAAAGTGATTTTATACAGTGACATAGGGATATCCTCCATTTTATTCTTCCTTCCTTCCTGACTCCTAACTTCATGCTGACTTCTTAATGTCTTAGCATTGAACTGCTGTTTCCACGGCCATTTCATGTGACTCCAGACTTGAAACCTACTTTAGAACCCCATATTTTGTACGTGTAGTTACAGATTTCCTTTCCAGTTAACCAGAAGAGTAGGCTGGCTTTCCAAAAAGCTGAGAGGAAGTGTCTGTTTCTAAATAGTTCTTCAGGCACTGCATCAGTCTACTCTGTTGCCCCAAGAGTGCTTAATGCCTTTTGGAAGAACATATACATCAGACTGAGTTGTCTTCAATCAAGGCCATGTTTGTGTGTGTTTTAGTGGTGTCTTTTGGGACTGGTCTTAAAGTCTTTCAAAGTATAATACACCCCAAAATAAAAAAAAATGAGCTAAGGACATCCTAAAAGAATCGAGTTGCCAGGATTTGAGGCATTGTGGCGAAATACAGCCGTAATGAGAATATCAATGTCTGTCTGTATTTGTGCAGTGCGGAAGGCACTAAGACGACAGTTGAAGTGGTACAATTTTGCCACAAGGAAAGCTGTTTGTGTTCTTAGGGTGTCTATATGCTTATCTTTAACACAGCTGTCTGAAGAGGTGGAATGATCTTGATGAAGAGATCTCTGCTGAAAGGGTGGGACAGTAGGAGTAGCATCTTAAGGTCTCACTGGACAAGGAGAGGAAGAAAAGATGAAAAATTATGTACTCATAAGTGTCATAAAACTTACCTAAGAAACCTCAGCATAACTAGTATCTTCCCCTGCATCCTGCTCCCAGTCCCTTCAGCACACAGAAATATTTCTTCAGAAGAAGCTAATGCAAGGAACCACAGTAGTTCACCCAGCCCTGCTTTCTCTGAGAGACTCCTGACCCTTTGAGTTGTGGAGTTTAACTCTTAGTAGTACTTGAGGCCTCTAGTAGTTGGGCTTGTCTTCTATAACAGGGCAGGTGTCCTAGCTCTTAGGGAGCACTGTGAAGTTGACACCATTACCCAGATATGCTGGATTCTTGCGCTGCACTCAGCTTGCAAAGGAAGCTGGCTGGCAAGAAGCCCTCTATGACCACTCCTCTTCTAGACAGGAAACTGCTCAGTATTTCAATTCTGTTAATGTTTTCTTTCCTGCTCTTGCTTGTTAAGAAGTGAAGAAGTTCAAGAGTGAAGTTAAAGGATGCAGATTAGACTTGGAGGAAACTGTTATGGGTAGTTCACAGCAAAGAAGAGGTGAGGTACTTAGTATAACCTGAGCCTTAGCTGGAGGGAGTTTATGAAAATCTGTGAATATGGGAGATGCTCATAGACTGACCCTTGTAATGTGATTTTGTTGGTCTGCTCTTCCCTGTGCTCAGGAGAATTTGTCACTGATTTAGCAGGATAGCAATGAGGTACCTTGCAGACTTTGCAGTTCTCTCTGGGAAAAGAGGCTGCAGTTTCTTGGCAGCCTAAGTCGACCCCACCATCAGCCCCTGCAGCCTGGCCCCGAGCATGTGTTCCTACACCTGCCCAGCCTGCTGGTCCAGCATGGGGGCTGATGGGCTGGACCTGGTGTGAGGGGAGCCACCAGCCTGTGTGGCAGGAGGTGGGGTGGGTGGAATTGCCACAGCCAGCAGCTGTGCTGGTTCAGGGTGCCATGGAGCCACAGCCTGAGTGCAGGCAGTGTGGCACTGGACCAGATGTGTGGAAAGCGGTCTGGGCTTCTGTCTGCTGCTTCAGCACTACTTGCTGCAGGAACCCCGAAAATAGAGTTCAGTTCCTCAAGTACATTTTCTTCCTAGAGGTTTCCATGAAGACACCCGCGTTTGTGCGTGCTGCAGCCTACAAGCCACTGCTGTCAACTCCACGTCCTGCAAAACCTGCTGCTCCCAAGTAAGTATAAGCCACCTTCAGCAGTGGCCTGGTAGAAGTGCGTCTGGGGGGTGTAAGTGCTGGTGGAGAGAGCTGAGCCCAGCTTTGTCAGTTGTTTTGTGCTTTATCAGCTGTAGCAGAGAGTAAGCAGTCCTGAAGTCTTTAGTTCATTCACTGCTTTAGCAGCTGAATAAAGAGTTCTATCAAGTGAATGTCAGTACTCTCCCAGAGCAGATCTGATGCCTCAAGTCTTCCCAATGAACGTTCTTGTAATATTTTCTTGTGCTGAAGGCCAAAACCTTTTTCTAGGAGTTTTTCAACTGGTAAGCTACTCTAGAGCCATAGACTGCAATATGAGATGCAGAGGCCCTTGCAGAAGAGGGGGGGAATTACAGGTTATGTTACACTGATCACATGAAATGACATATTTGTATTGACTTTAGAAACCTAAAGCTGTATGCAGTTGCCATGTGCTGAGTATAAAATGAAGCTCTCCTAGAGGTAGAAAGTGAACCTGTCCTCTGTATTACTCCAAATTAATTAACATTTTTCACCCTCTTAACTAGAAATTTGGTGAAGCTGTATGATTCATCAGAACCACTAACTGTGGGTCCCAGGGAACAGGAGGAATTTTCTAGCCCATGACTCTAGTTTTCTGTTTATTGAAGCAATAGACAATAAAAACAAATTCTTGTGCCCTTTACTGCTGTCAGCAGAGCTGAATGATGCTTACAGAAGGTGCTGGATGATTGCTCTAATCACAAATAGTAAAATATATTTATAAATAGAAAAAGGAGTCTTTGATACTCTGCTGAAGTGGAACTGAATGAATGCAGGTTTGCTTTGGGATTTTGCACCGGGCTGTGCTCTTTTTTTTTTTCTATCTATATATATATTTATAGGGAATGTCTGAATACTAATTCTTCTGTAGAGAGTGCTAGTCCTCATTGGCAAAAGAATTCCATGTATTTGGATGCATGTTCTTTATAGGAATTTCTGGATGTTAATAGACTGACAGATTTTCAGGCTATGCTGAGATAACAGTAGGTCATAATAACAGGTTCACAGCCTAGACTACAGGAAGCTCTTGCACAAAAAATGCATGGTTTGTTTGCACTTTATGTAATGCGGTCTGACCCTGAGTTGTCCTGCTTGCTTCCTGAGATAGCAATGCTCAGGTTAAAAGCCTGAGGAATACTCATGTAATATGTATTATGTAAATGTATACATAATACTTATGTAGTGGAGCAATAACCATGTGAGAGCCATGGTTAAGGCATCCTGATATAAAATAATCTCTTTATACTGGTACAGTTCTACTGTGATCAACTATACCAGATTAGCGCCACAGAACTTTTTATTTAGAAACACCAAAGTCTCATACAGTCACTAAACTTCAATTTTGCTGTGATCCTGTGAACCAAACATTCATACGTAATCATTCAGAAATGGGTAAACTGAGTCACAGAAACAGTAACCAAGATAACTTAAATAATGGCTGGGTTTTTTTCTCACTACTACACATACTTCATCTTTGGGGCTGATCTATTCCAGCTGCCCCTGAGGTTCTGACAGAGAATCATGTAGATGGGTTGGAGAGAGATTCAAATGATACGTGCACTCTGCCTGTGGGTTTTGCCTGTGCTAGCCTGAGATTCCAGTTTTTTTCTGTTGTTTTCCACTTGCCTACAGAGTGAAACTGGGGATTTCACTTCCCCTGCTCGTGTTACAATTTTTCCTCTGTAGAATGGAAAACAGTAGTAGTTTCCTTTGGGACTTACAGTCTTGTTTAAGGAAAAAAACCAAACCAAACAAACAAAACAAGCCCCAGAAAACCCTGCTAAACAAAATGTTCATAATAGTGTAATAGTGTAAAAGTTGTGGTGGACATCTGTTCTGTGGAAGGAGATTGTATCAAAAGAGGAGCTTCTGGTGAGTTTTGTCCACAGACAAAAATTGTTGAGTATACCCTGCAGATGAGACTCTCCTGTCTACAGATACAGAGGTGGCCTGTGGATGCATCAAACTTTGTGCATTCCTGGAGAGTGAAAACTACAGGGATGCAGTATAAACTGCATTTATGTATTGGAGAGAACTATAGTTTGCTGATTACTTGTTATGCTGGCATATCATATCTTGGAAGACTTGAGCCTGGATTGCTTCTCCCACAGTCATAATGTCATGTGAATTGTTTGCAAGCTGTACTTCATGGACATGCGGGTTTTGAAGAATTGGGAGGGAGGAAGAATTAAGAGCTCGAGGTAGTTCTTACTCCTTCCAATTCAGCATAAGGTTTGCCTAAACTCAGCCTGGTGTTCTCTGCCTCTCCCCCGTGTTTGTTCATTTGATGTGTGAACTTTCAATTTCCCTCAAAGGTCTCCCCTGCAGCCGCTGCGGGCTAAGCCAGCTCCAAAGAGCTTGGGAGCGTCACGGAGGAAAACATGTGAGCCTGAAGTAGCAAGCAGTTTGATAAAGAAGATATTTAGCCATTATGTGAAAATGCCAGTGGCCAGAGATGCATTTAAAATTGTTGAAAAATGGTAAGCAGCAATCAACTGCTCCTATTTCCACTCTTTTTAGTCTTTTTTTCATTCTTTTCTCTCTTGAAATAACAAACCTGTCAGGAGTGCTGCTGACAAGCTGACAGCCGTCCATATTCAGCTGGGGAGTCATGGGAGGTCTGATTAAAATGAGGACAGAAATGTGCTAGGTGCTCTTGGCTGCTGTGGGGGTATCTGTGACCAATGCAACCTTTCAGGGGTTTCTGGGTTTTGTCCCAACCAGTACAAATTGCACCATTCACAATCTGCTCTAGCTGACATCACACTAATATCATTAGCACGCTCCATGAGTGGGATGGCTCTGGAGAATGGTCAGTGTGCCAGGCAAGGTGAAGCTGTTCCAGCTGTGCAGTGTTACATCTGAATCCAGGTTTCTCAGCTTTTTGAATCCATAGACCTGTCATGAATCCATAGTTAACTGTCATGAGTAAAATCTGCAGATTGTTTGAACAGTGTCACCGTAAGAGCCAATAGTCTAATCAGTCCTCAGTGCTGATTTGTCACTTGTGTTAACCCCTGTTCTTGCATGTGTGGGAATTTTGGGAAAGGTTCTGGTTGTTGACTGTGCAGCTGTTTCACAGCTATCTTGGCTGTGAAGTTCCAGGGAGCCCAGGCTGAGAAGCCGTACTTTGTTCCATGGGCTGGAGAGTTTCTACAGCGAGCAGCTGTAGTGCATCTTGCCCTGTAGAAGTTCACACGCTCCGCAGCCTGATTTATTTCCGTCCTCAATCCTCCTTCAGCTCTGAGAGATACTTCAAGCAGCTAAGCAGTGATCTGGAAGCTTACAGCAACCATGCAGGGAGGAAGACAGTGGAGTTGGCTGACCTGGAAGTCCTCATGAGAAGGTAAAGTTATTGTTAACCTGTAGTAGTGTTCGGCGGTGCTTCGATAGCCCGATAAGACTGTCCTTGCCAGGGTGTGCACTAGCAGTAAGTATTTCCACAGTAGGTGTGGTATCTTGTGATTTAATCTGTGTGATGCCACTTGGCCTTCTGTCCCAGGAGAGCATTCGTGGACTTGGGTTTTTAATACTCCACGATGAAGGTGGTGGAAGGGCAAGAGGAAGTAGTGAAGGGTTGGGAGTGCAGGAGGAGTCTGAGGAACAAGTAGCAAGAGGAGGGGGATGTGTGCAAGGGTGAAGCAGTTATGGCTGGAGAATGAGTGGTGTCAGCAGAAAAAGCAGAGTAACAGTAAGTGTGAGGCCTGGCTGCACCGTTTACATCCCTGAGTGATCTCTTTGCTAAAAGCGCTTGCAACTGACATAGCATGGGCATTTTCACATGCCTTGCTGTGTGTTTTGATGACTTACTCTTCCAAACAAAATCCCACTCTTCCTGCTTCTGCAAAAGCTGCTACTGAAGGTTCAAACTGACAGTTCCTCTCCAGAGCAGGAAGAGGAGCCTCCAGCCTGGCAGGCCTCTCCTAACAACGGTGTTCCCCTTTGTGCTGCCTCTTTGAGACCCCACAGAGGGGCAGGCTGGCCAGCAGGCTGGATGAACTGTTCTCAGAGCCTCTCCTACTGCTCCTCTTTCCTGTGGGCTCCTTCAGCTCCCCCATCTCATGACTGAATTTAGTTCGTCCTGTGACCAAAACACAAGGGATTTGTTCTTGGTTTGGGAGCCCTCTGCAAAACTCTGTGGAGCCTGAAACAAATTCATCACTCCTCATTCAAAGTCATTACTGCAAGTTGTTATTCCTCATCTCCACTGGGAGAGTTTCAGATGTGATACTAAAGTCTTCTGAGGGATTTTGCAGGCACATCTGATGAAAGGCATTGGCTTTGCATGGGCCTATGTAGATGGAGCTGATGCTGATGCTTAAAAAGAATAATCTGTTGCTGTCCTGGTCTGGAGATCATAATTTTCCCACTTGACATGTGTGTGCTGAAATTAGTATGAACAGGCTGACAGGTGTGATGGTTTAGCTGGCCAGATTTGAGAATTCTGTATGCTTGTTATTTTACCTTTTTCTAGATGTCTTTACGCCTTTCCACTGCCTCATAAAAGCATCAGGAATTGTTGCTGGTTCATGAATAAGAACAGTATTTCTGTTCCTTCCACAAGAAAAGCATGAATAAATACTCCTTTTTTTTCCCCCCTTTCTACAAGACTAGGAGACGCTGATTTTTTCAGGCCAATGAGCTAAATGGTGTTCTAGAAAACTACATGGCCTACACAGGTGGAAAATGCCAACCACCTCTGAATTGTGAATGTAAAAAAATCTGCTGGGTAATGAGCTATTTGCTTCTGTTATATCATTCTGTGCATGTCTTTAAATGGTAAAATTTATCCCATGGCAGGTGGATTGTGAATTTAAAAAGTAATGAGCTTATACTTTGGTGTAGATCAATATGCTGGCTCTCACTGTGATAAGCACGTACATCTGTGGGAAGCTGGTCTCCAGTAACCCTCTTGATCCACTTTCAGGTGTAGGTAAGCCTGGTGCCTGCACTGTACGCAGGGACGTAGTGCGTCACCTGAGAAAGTTGCCTGCAAATAGAACTCTATACCTTTTCTATCACAAGTAGCCACAGCATTTCAGCTATTAAATGCAAAAATGTCACTGCAAGAAAACTTTGAAAACTTTACTCTGATGTTAAGTCTGAGTGGAAACACTTTTCACTAACAAGTCTCTGTTTCTTCTCTGCTCTCCTCTTTTTGAACAAAGACAAGGGCTGGTGACAGACAAGGTGCCGTTGCATGTGCTAATAGAGCGTTACCTCCCTCTGGAGTACAGGAAGCTCCTGATTCCAGTTGCTGTGAGCGGAAATAAAGTGATCCCCTGCAAATGAACGTGCCCTTCCAGCAGCAGTGGCTCCTGTGGGTGGGAAGACGGCCTGCTCGCAGCGGCAGGCTGTAGGTTGTTCCGTGTAACTGCTCCACGTGACAGTTTTCCACCAGTAACTAGTGGGGCAATAAATGGTCGACATTCTCTTGAACTGATGCAGGTTGTGCTCTGGCTATCACGCCAGCCTGCTGGATCTCACCAACTGTTATTACAAGTAATTTGACTATCCTGAATTTTTTATGTTACCTTTGAATACTTATACAGCTCTGATAAATAAAATATTATATGTATTCTGCGTGATACAAATGCTGCTTATTCCAATGAGGTGAAAGGCTACTGCATTGCATTGTTCAAAATGTTCCTAATAGACATTTGGCTGTGTTGATGCTCTTCATACTAGCTAATTGTTTGCTCAAAGGAGAAAAGTTAGACCGCCTTACAGAAAGAAGCAGATCCTTGTTACAGCTGTGTGTTTTTCTAGAGCAGGGGCTTTCAAACTTGGACTCTTGTCCCCTTTTGCAAGTCTAGTCTACTGTGTCAAGAGTAGTTCTTAATCCATCTGTGACCACAGCTATTTACTGATGGAAATTGAAATGGGAAAATATACTTTATATTTGCTTTATATATATGTGTATATCTCATGGGAAATCAGTAAGCAATAATTTAAGACCATTTGAGAGACGATGTTTACTGGTGCACACATGGTAGATGAAGGACTGAGAGATTGATTCAGATGGAGTTAATCGTGTCTATTTGGTTTATGTGGGAAGGTTTTGGTAGTAGGATGGGGGAGTGGATGCTGCAGAAACCAGGGCCTGCGTCCATGTCAGAGCCAGCTCCAAAATGGACTCGCCACTGGCCAAAGCTGAGGCCATCAGCGACTCTGGTACCTCTGATAAAATATTAAAGGTTAAAAACGCTGCAGAGCAGCTGTGGGAGGGAGGAGTAAGGAGAAAAATGTGAGAGAAACAACCCTGCAGACACCAAGCTCGGTGAAGGAGGAGATGCTGGAGCAGAGAATCCCTTAAGAGCCTGTGTAGAAGACCATGGGGAGGGAAGCAGGTTGTCCCCCAGCAGACATCCACCAGCAGCCCGTGGAGGACCCCACACCACAGCAGGTGGACATGCTCTGCAGGAAGCTGGAGCCCACGCAGGAGCAGGTTTGTTGGCAGGGACCTGTCGGGGACCCACACTGGAGCAGTTCTTGAAGGACTGTATCCCATGGGAGGGACCCCATGGCAGAGCAGGGGAAGAGTGTGAGGAAGGAGCAGCAGAGACAAAGTGTTACGGATTGACTGGAAACCCCCCTTTCTTTGTGCACTGCTTGGCAGGGAGGAGATAGTTGGGTCTGGGAAGAGGGAGGGGTGGAGGGAAGATCTTTTTAATTTTGTCTTTGTTTCTCACTATCCTAATCTATTTTTAATTGAGAATAAATTAATCTTCCCCAAGTCATGTTTTGACCATGCCAGGAATTGGCGAGTGATCTCCCTGTCTTTATCTTGACCCATGAGCTTTTTTTTATCTTATTTCCTCCCCTGTCCTGTTGAGGATGGGGAGTGAGAGAGTGGCTGGGCGGGTGACTGGCAGCCAGCTATTTTCTGCCAGCCCTGGTGCTGTCCTCTAACTGTCTACATACAGAAATGTATCTGGAAGGTCACTGAGGAGGCAGGCAGTGCCAGAAGCTGCTCTATGAAGCAGCGTCCAGCTCTGAGAGCTGCAGTTTGCTCTGCAGAGATCAGCCTGCTCGTGGGTCATGGTAGCATTGTGTGCTGGCATCCACATCACGATCCGAAGCTGCAAGATCCAAGCAGTGACTCTGTTAGTAACAAGTGCAAATCAGTCCTCTGCGTGTTCAGCACACCTTTGTGGTTTCTGCTGCTCCACTCCTGGTGTGAGCCATGGTGCTGCTTAGCTTTCCATCTGTGGTTTCATACAGGTGGTTGCTGCACAGAGGAGCTGGTCTGCACTGTGCTCCCTTGCGTTCCTTAAGTAGGGAGACAATAAAAGCAAGATCATTGTTATGATTTTACTGCTTACAGTGACCCTAAACCACACAAGAATGAGATCAGCCACAGTAGAGGATTTCATAGAATAGAATCATAGAATTGTTTAGGTTGGAAAAGACCTTTAAGATCATCCAGTCCAACCATTAACCCAACATTAAGAAGTCCACACTAAACCAATTAAGGGTAGATTAGACTAAACCATGTCCCGAAGAGCCACATCTACCCGTTTTTTGAACACTTCCAGGGGTGGTGACTCCACCACCTCTCTGGGTAGCCTGTTCCAATGCTTAACAACCCCTTCCATGAAGAAATTTTCCTAATATCCAATCTAAACCTCCC